CCTAGTGAGAGTAGATGGTAGGATATTTCGCTGTCTAGAGAATGTCAATTTGGTATCACCTCTTATAATCGCTTCCTATAAGCTATTCATAATTGCTCCTAACTTGGTCGTAGTTTAACAACATCAACTCGAATCTTTGTGATTCAACCATCGTATATGCATCAACCAAGACTTGTAAATATAATCTTTGTGCAAGCAACACAACACCACCATCTTTTTATTTTTCTTGTATTTGAAATGTAACAAATTCTCTCACTAATACTTTTGGATTCTGTACATTTTTTCACACAAAAAATGATTTCCTTATAGAGATATTTTCTTGATATCTATCCTCCCCAAAAGGAAATAATAATAGTTTCTATAAAGGTATGAAATAGCGTGTGTCTCATTAATTTTTGTAAGTCCATCTCTTTTCATGAGGATAATTTCCCTTTTTGAATTAGATAAATGAAAATATCCAAGTATTAAAGCAACAACTTTATGTACTATGTGGATATTATAATTTCTCGAGTCTTTAGTTCTACTCTTCAACAACCTCACTTATACATTAGAAGTAGGCTCACTATCAACAAAGTCTCTAACTCTTCAAAAACTCAGTGTTAAAGGAAATTATAATATCCACACAGTACATGAAGTTGTTGCTCAAATACTTGAAGATTTTGATTAATGTAGTTCTACTCCTCAGCAACCTCACTTAGGCTCCGTTCTGTTCAACTTATTTTTTCTGTTTTGATCTGATTTTTTGTAATTCTGATCTGATCTGATCTGATCTCATCTGATTGGATCTGATATACTCTGATCTGATTGGATCTGATCTGGTCGAATCTGATTTGATTAATAATGATTTGATTTAAAATTCAAATGAATGATTTGATTTGACTTTATAATAACGTTTGCAAATTATAATGATAATTCATATTATAATAAAATCATATTTTTTATTTTATGATTATAGTTTAATTAAATAAAATTAGTTAATTCATATATTAGAATAATCATTCATATTATAATGTAATAATATTTTTTATTTTATGATTATTTTTTATGAAATAAGGATATTGATTTAATATTTTAATAATTAGTTCATATATACATTAGAATAAATATTTAATTCATATATACATTAAAAAGTAATTAAATTTAGATAATCAATATAGAGAAGAGATAGTATTTCTATTAAAATGTGTCATCCTTATAAAATATCAACCTGTGCTTTGTACTACGAATTTTTTTTATGATTGATATAACACCATAGATATAATAGTTATTTCAGTTACACTAAAATATACTCCGTATATGAATATCAAATGTTAATTTTATTTAAGTCATGATCAAAGTTGATCAACTCGATGTAGTAAAAGATCAAAACTTTAGAAAATCAATTTACATGTAGCACTAAAAATGTATTTTAAAAGTAGAATTAGATTGACATTGTCAATGTATTTTAAAAATAATTTTTTCGACGTCTAATAATTAAAGATTATTTTCTCAGTTTTCTATTTAACTTGTTTCTAAAGGTTATTCTGTTTCATTTTAAGAATAATAATAATAATAATAATAGTAATTATAATAATAATAGTATTTTTTATTGGATCTGATCTGATCTGGTCTGATCTAATTGGATATGATCTGATCCGATCTGATTGAATCTGATCTGAATAGATCTGATTTGATTTGATCTAATCTGATCTGATCCAATTTTAATAAGAATAAAAAAACAGAAAAATAAGTTGAACGGAACAGGGCCTTATACATTAGAAGTAGGCTCACTATTAATGAAGTCTCTAGCTCTTCTGAAACTCTGCGCTAAAGTAATATGCTCAGCTATCATATTTTTCAAATCTTCGAATAAAATTGTATCATTAGTCAAAGAATCATTTATTTTTATTGTATCAAACAAAGTGAAAACTTTTATTTTTGTTAATATGTAATTAATGTTTCATAAGTATTGTGTTTCCAAATGCATGCAAACAATACGTGCATTGAAAGGATGCACTTAAAAAGTGTTTGAGATATCTTAAATGAGCCATTCTGTTTGATATCTCATTTGGTCTATATCATAAATATACAAATGAGTAAATCTTTGTCACATCGCGGAGTACATTCCTTGTTGAATGACGACCTCTGTACTTGTGTATCTGTAATAATCATCATAAAATAAATATTGTAATTTTTATCTAAAAACTTTAAATATAAAAAAAATATTATCCACTAATATTGTTACATTGCTGTCAATGGTCAAATGAATAAATAAGCAAGAATATGTCTTATTTACATTGTTTTGACTTTTTATATTTTTCAAGAATTTATTTAAAAGTAATTTCACTTATAACAATTAATATTATGCCATAAGTATTTCGATTAGAAATACCAATTAATAATTAATTTCTTATACATAAATACCCCGTACCACATTTTCATCATTTTACAAAGTTATTTATGGACATTAGTAAGTTTTGTGGCACAAATATATAAATTTTTATGAAGTTAGCAATGGAAAATAATTTTAAAATAAAACACAATTGTTATTTGACTTAGAACTTTTTTAATATATACGAAATAAAAATGCTCTATTAAATAAATATGCCCATAAAAATCCTTTAATTTTCCTTTGACGTATTTGTTTCTCTTTTAAAAAAATTGGAAAATTTCTCCAATTAGTATTATTTCAAAGCCAAAACTAATATTCACATGTAATTTCTTTTAGTCGTACTAATCTGTCCGTTTTTAGAATAAATTTATTTGTTTTGATTATTATTTTTGAATATGAGTTCTTTTTTCAGTTTTGAAATATATTATACTCTGTATAATTTAAATAATTTTCAACAATAAATTAAAATATAAAAGTTTTTAAACATGAATATGTTTAGAAATTTGTGTGTAAAAAATACGAAATTTAATTCTCATAGAATAAGTTTTTTTGGTTAACTAATTCTTTAAATAGTACTTGCTGAATGCTGACATGTTAAAAAGATGTCCAACATGCGTGCCATATGTCACAATTTTAAGAGTCCAAATCTCAAATTTTATATATAAAGATATATATATATATATATATATATATATATATATATATATATATATATATTTGTAAGTCCCAATTGGAATTGGAAGTGGCGAAGGGGTGAGTATTTGGAAGTCGCGTAAGGAGAAGGAGCGTAACACTGTGTTTGTTTGGAGGTAGGGGAGGTAGTAACAAAAATTGAAATAAGTAAAGAGAGGTTTTTATTTTTGGAGATCGCCAATTTGGCTAAACATCACGGTACTACAATATTTTCCGCTGCTACCCTCTCCTTCGTTCGCAGAGCAGAATCGTCATCTTCACGGTTCCTATCGCATCGTCATCCAATTGCAGGTAATTTCTGATCTTCCCTCTGTTTTTCGATTTTGTTAATTCAATTAGCCGATCCCTGTTTCGATCGTTATTTCTGCTCCCATTTTTTTGCGGCACCTTTTTTTTGCAGCACCCATAGTCATCCAATCGCAATAATTAGGGATTGGGTTTGTTCTTGCTGCACCCAATTTTTTACTTTGCTCCCATTTTTTCTGTTTTGGGATTGGGTTTGATTGTTGCGACACCCATGAGGGTTACTCTACTCCCATTTTTTTATGTTCTTGTTTTTGTGGTTTTTTCTTGTTCTTTTTTTGTGCTTTTTTTCTGTTTTTTCTACCAATAAAGAAAAACAACCACAAGGATATTTTAGTAATTTTATTTTTTTCCTACCTCACGTTACCTAATAAACATCCAAACACAATTTTTTAACTCATTACCTTCAATTACCTACATATTACTTACCATTACCTACCTAATAAACCTACCTCCAACCAAACATACACTAAATACGTGAGATTGTGGGATCCGGATCGACGATCCTTGCGACCCGAAGGATTTTTGCAATTCTGGCGAGTTGGATGGGTTAGTTGCGATCTTTAAAATCGTAGAGGGAATCGGTCGCCCACAACTCACAGGTCCCACTTCAAGAACTGCCTCTGCACCCATCAGCCACTGACTGCTGTCTGACGCCCTCCACGGTCTGCTCTCAGTTAAGTGAGGAATTGAAGATTGCTGAACGGGGAATGCCTGATATGAATACATGACATCTTTTGAGGTAATTTTGCTTTTTAATGTATTTTAGAAGTACTGCATCTATTTTTTTACATTGAGTAGTATATATTGGACTTAGTTTGTCTATATTTATTGCTAATTATTGAAATTATTTGGTTTGGTTTTTATACTAAATGCACAAATGCATCTAAAGTCTAACACAAATGGCCTTCCCGGGGGCAAGATTGCTTGCACCATCTTGACCCTAGTTCCCAACAGAGTCTGGATTATACTAGGTTGTTGTAACTGTTTTTGGAGTATTTTGTTGATTTGTTGAAAAAATTAAATTAGGTGTAACTTAGGGTATATAAATTAATTTTATTTCAAGTTAAATTCATAAATGATAAATATAGAACATTAATATAAATGTATTATTTAACACAGTATATTGCATTCTATAAACTTCAAGTCCCCATAGATTCAATACGCAAGTGATGAAATTAGGGAATAATGCATATTTAGGATATAATGGAAGACACTTATTTAGGGAAAACAGATTTAAAAAATGTGAAATTTGCACTGAATAGGACTAAAATATAAGTCATTTCCCAATGTAGGACTTAAACTTTTTTATTCCCTAAATAGGACTTAATAATGACTAGTGAGAAAAATAATGTCCAAGTGATGCTGGACATTTAGTTGAATAATGACTAATAGATAATGACCAATGGTCCTACATTAGGAAATAAAAACATATCGTCGTATATTGAGAAAGTCATTATGTTTTAGTCTTATTTAGGCAAATTACCCTTGAAAAATCAGTAACTCAAGAAAAGATAAAATATCTTACTCCCAATATTCGTCTACTTTATTTTTAGATCAAAAACCAAGGTGAGATAAAAAAAGTCTCAAATACCCCTTACAAGTATCTTTCTCCCCTTGATCTATGGCTTTCGCACTACCCCACCCAATTCCCCCCCACACCACCTACGCCATGCCAGTGAGGCTGCCACACTGCATACTCCGGCGTCCACCACCAGCCATCTGCCGTCCATGTTGGTGACGCTGGTCTTATTCCATACAGAGAAGTTTTAGGATTGATTTGTCTCTTTAATTTCAGCAGCTCGCACAATTAGAAAATTTAACAGAGCTTCACCAACCTAGACCCCCTCTCCAAATCCCCTGCCGTATAACCCAACCCAAAATCCTCCAGTATGAAAAATGGAGAAGATGCAATCGATCCTAACTTAACGAACAACAAGCTCCTGGCCACCCTACAAATCAGCAAACACGCCTCAAACTTCAATCGGATCTCTGTCGAACCTTTGTAGATCTAGATAATGGATACGTCACCACGTCATCTGCTTCTTGCCCGGGATTGAGTTGTCATTTCCGCTTCTCGGATCTGTGAAAGAAGATCTTGGCAAGGTGAGATATAGTCGAAGAAAAAGACCTGGAGGAAGAGAAAAGTAAGCATTGAAGAAGAAGATTAATTAGGAGGCGAAGAGAGAGAACTGGTAGAAGAACAGAATTGTAGAGAGAATCTTCTTCTTCTTCGCATAGAACAAGCCTTTTGGCTCCACGCCTCCACAATTGTGCAAAGGTTACAACACGCAGCTGAACATGGATGGCAGCTCTTCTCCAAATGGATGTGCTGGCGGCGCCATCCTCAGTGACCAGGTAGGATTCGTAGGATAGTTAGTTCAGGCCATCTCATTTCCCCTCTCTTCAGGGTCTCTGCTCCAAACAAAAACCTCAGCGCTTGTCCACGCTCTCAGCCGCTCAATATCTTCAACCTCAACAACATCTTTTTGGAAATGGGCGGCTAAGGCCTATTGCAATTGATCACCCTTTCATCACCTCCAAACAATGCTGCTGCATTCATCAATTCATCAGGGATTGTGTCTCCAGGAGGAACCTCTAAGTAAGCCACCCTCCAGCTAGTCAACGAATTGGCAAGGATGGGGGCAGCCTCAATCAGTGTTTTTTTAATTCTACCAATTCCCATCCCAAAGTTGTTAAAACCTATCTGTCCCTTGATCTGCTTGTACCCTTTCTTCCATGGAATTAATAAAAGAAAACCCTTTAAAAAAATGTATGTGTGTGTACTGTGTATGTGCTTATGTATATTTTTTCCAGTGATTCCAACTAGCCTAGCCGCTAGGGCCTCACTTTTAGCAAGACTAACTTTGTTTATAGCATGGAATTCTCATGTAATGTGTGCGTGTCTATGTAGATGAGTCTGACAGCGGATTCCCCGGCTCACTCGTCAAGCAGTGATGATTTTGCAGCCTTCTTAGATGCAGAGTTGGACACCGCTTCTGGTACATCATCAGAGCTGGAAGAGGAGACAGAAGAGGAGAAGGATGACGAAGAGCAAGATGAAAATAATGATCCAGGAGAAGATGGTGACCCTAAGAACAGTTCAAATTCTGCTAGGTACTAAGAAATATATTGCTCTCTGGATGATTTTCAATTTATTAACTCTTCCTATGATTGCATGAAAGTGATCAAATTTAATTCAAAGACATTTTGAAGCAATAATATCTAGAATGGCCTCCGTCCCAAAATGAAGTTGACACTTTCCTCTTTTGGATGCCCCAAAATAAACTCTACACTTCCTCATTTGCCCATTAAAGAAAAGTCGAAAAGAATATGCGGCTCACAAAATTTCTTTCTTCTAAAACTAATTTTTACCATACACTTCTTACTTTTCAACAATTTTCTTTAAACTCTGGGAAGCCAAAGCAAAAAGGCATAAACTTTATCTCTGAACAAAGGGAGTACAAAATTAACTTTTAGGCATTTTGTTCCTTATTATGCTTCACTTGGGATCCAAAAGGAATTATATCCATAGCCTATATCAAGTATCACTTGAAGTGAAGAATGCTTGTGACATATTGATAGCATCTTGGGTTACTACATTGGGGAAGGGTGTATGTAGGGTGAAGTATGTTTTATCATTTTAGATTCTGCATTTTGAAAATCTTCAAAGATTTCTGTTTATTCATTTCTACTAAAGTGCTTGTCAATTAACTTCTTTTTTCACCAATTTTACTATTATTTGTATATTTGTATCCTTTGGATTAACTCTCTTCCTACCAGGAAATTTTTCACTTTGCAAATTTGACAAGAGAATAACCAATGGAGCTAAAAGAGTCATTATTGACAATGTTTTAGTTTTGCATACATAATGATACATTAAACTTCCCTTGCTTCTTCCTATGAGGTTTTGGGAAATAATTGTAGCAATGCATCTAGGATCTACTATTATTCAAGAGTAAGACTGTACATCTGGATCTCAGTACCCCAACGGAGCTGGGATTATGCTGGCTTATTGTCATTTAGAGAAGAGCCAAACATGGATACTACAATACATTCTCGCATTATGTGGACTATAAAAAGATGATTGTACAAGTATCTGTTGCAAGCACACGTTATATGCTTGCACAATAATCAGATGTGTTAATTGAACCGTTGCTTCTTATGAAAGCTTTATTAAGTCACTAAGACCTATTCGTCTTGCCTCATTCATGTGGCTTTTTTCATTGTCATTACCGCCACAGAAGATTATTTAAGATGGTGTTTTATCACTTTTATGTTAGATGCTTCTGCCACTTGTAATTTGATCTTGTGTTCAATATTTGTTTTAATGTAGGGTAAAAAGGCGCAAGGTAGGAAACTACATCGGTTCAGGGGATCCACATGGAAGCTCAAGATCTCGTGGAGAACGAGGAGGTTGGAATACTTCCTCTTTTTTTGTTGTTGAGAGAATGTAATACTTCCTCTCTTGTGTGTGTGCGTACACACACACACACACATAATGGTGCTTAAAGTTTGAAATTAAATTCACAAAGTACAAGAGGGATGCATCAAACCAGTGAACCACTTCAACACACAAATATATATGTGTGTGTGTGTGTGTTTATGTATAGACATACACATACACACATACACCCTCCGTCCTTAAATGAAGTTTACGTGCTTACTTCATGGAGTTTTGAAAAAGTGTTGAAAATTGAAAAGTGTGGTTGAAATTTATTTACAAGAGAAATTATAAGAGTGACATTCATTTTCTAAAAGGGAAAGTGAAAAAGTGTACACTTCATTTTGGGATGGAGGGTGTGTGTGTGTGTGCATGCACGCACATACCGCATCCAACTCTATCTATTGTGTTTGGTGTGGGAGTTCCTTGATACCCATTGGTACATATTAGTCTATCTACCTGAATGTGGAAGTGCTATATATTCCTCTTAACATCCACTATGCTATAATATGCTGAATGATGTTGTTTCCTTACATTTAAACTTTTGCAGGTGTTTCAGTTGAAATGGAAATGTGTACACACCCAGGTGTGATAGGCGGGATGTGTATACGGTGTGGGCAACATTTAGAAAATGAATCTGGCGTGTCTTTTGGCTACATTCATAGGGTATTCGTTCAATCTTATTTATCAGATATTTGCTACTACGTATTTGGCATCTGATAGCTTACTTGTGGCCACATTTTTTTCTAAAATTTGCTTCCCACTTCTAGGTATATAATTTTATTCATTTTAACGAGATTTAATCTGGTGTAATTATAGTATAAAGTAGTTATGACCCATATGAATGGTGTCATGTCTAATTCGAACACTATGATCAATGTTGGATGGTGGAGCATGGCAGAATTTCCACCATAAAATCTTAGGTTGCAGCCTATAGTGCCACCATGGGCTGAAGCTCTTCACAAATTGCCTATGGCAGCTTTCAAGAAATTCGTCATGCCATTCTGCCATGGCCACTATATATAACAACACTGAACCTAAGTGACACTAGGACAGTAGGACTGTATGATACATTCAAAAGCCTATATGTTTATGCTAGCAGGCTTTGTTATGTGGTGAACCAAACACCTGCACTTAAGCAATCCAGCAAGTGCTTTTGAAGTAGAGGGAATAAGCTGATTTTAGTATTGATTTCTCTTGCAGAATTTAAGGCTCGCTTCTGATGAGGTTGCTAGACTACGTGAAAAAGACTTGAAGAACCTGCTGCAGCGAAAAAAACTTTACTTGGTTCTTGATCTAGATCACACACTGCTAAATTCTACTAGGCTCTTTGACATTTTGGCTGAAGAAGAATACCTAAAAGATGCCATTCCTGGTGTGCCACTGTATCCTCTGTTTAATTTTATGTAATTTTTTAGTTGTCTATTGCCTTGGCATGTTTGCATTACTAGTATGTCTGCATATCTTGTTCATTACACTTGAATGAAGTTTTCTTCAATATAATTGCTTTACGATGATTCAATGAAAACTATTCCTTCTCATATGAAACATGAAACCTAGTATGTTGTGTTGGTGGGTGGGGGTGGGGGGTAAATAGACTGTATTAAAGTGGTTTTAATTGCTCAGTGAGGGTGTTAATTATTGAAGGCTTCTCTTGCCACATGTACTCCTCAGCTTGTATCCACAACTTCCTCCCCTCAACATAAATCTCAAATGCAAAATAAACATAAGGTGACATTTGAAGGGATTATTTATCCGACCTCTCTTTTCGAGTTTTCATGAAACCAAGCTACTCTCTAGACTCATCATCGCAAACCTCACATTAATCGCAGCTACATGGGGTCATAGTTATTAAGCCGCTGACTAGTTAGCAATTAGTCGTTTAGCCATTGAACGACTAGCTCTTGTGACTTTGACGTTAGGTCGTCCGGTTGATGACTTGGTGGAAACTGGTTGTCCTAAATAACGATTAGTTGTCAGGATGACCAAAAAATTGGGAAGGCTGACGCGACCCAACCAAGTCTTTGTTGGATCTGTGATGGTTGGCTTTTGGGCTGGAGAGCAACCAACTTCAATCCATCATCAAATCACCTCCTTCAACCTAGGGTGCGGTTCAAAGTGACAAATGGTGGATGTGATGGAGTAAACTGACATAATATTTTCTTTTTCTGACCCACAGGGAGTATTTTACAGTTTCCGACTGTCGAACCTTTCATTTTTCATTTTGTTCACTTTTTTTGGGGAAGGGCCCGGGGCCTGTGTGCATTTGTTTTTTGCAGATCTATCTATTTTTGTTTTTATTTTTAATAGAATTAATATAGACCTATGTGGAGTATATCTTGCAGTATATTACATATGTTGACTTGTCTACTAATTGTCAACTAGTCGATCGACTAGTTTGTTAGTCAGTTTGCTGATGACTCGATTCTACTTGTCGATGTGATAACCGTGCATGGGGTCAATGGCACTAGTTTATAGTGTCAATTATATAAAGTTAACAATATAAATTTCTGAAAAAACATGGTTTCAAACATTTGCACCTGATGCCCTTCATGCGAAACCTTTTGAAGAATGAATAATGAGATGAAATTTCACAATATTCATTGTCATCATCTTAACTTTTTCCTTTTGCATGGAGAATATCATGAGACACAATGAGTGGAGGTAGTTATAGTATATAAAATCAACTTCCTATATATATGTGTGTGTGTGTGGGTGTGTGTGTGGAATTCAAGCTGATAATTTCACTAATTACATGCCAACTTGAGATAAACAGATGCTTTGAAAGGCAGCTTTTTTAGGCTGGACAGGATTCACATGATGACAAAGTTGAGGCCATATGTGTACAATTTTCTGAAAGAAGCCAGTGAGTTATTTGAGATGTATATATATACTATGGGTGAACGCCCATATGCACTGGAAATGGCAAAATTGTTGGACCCTAGAGATGTGTACTTCCATTCGAAAGTGATTGCACAAGGAGATTCAACACAGAGACATTTAAAAGGGCTTGATATTGTTTTAGGACAAGAAAGTTCTGTCCTAATCCTTGATGATACTGAAGCAGTGAGTCATTTCATATTTATTAAAATGCTTAAGCATCTTCTTTTGGAAACAGCCTCTCTACTTTTGAGTAGGGGCAAGGTGTGCCTACACACACCCTCTTGAGACCCTACACCCTCTTGAGACCCTCGTGAGGCCCTACTTTTATGGAATCCGATTGGGTTGTTGTTGTTGCTTAAGCGTCTTCTGCCCAAGTTACACAATTGTCTAAGTTTCTACTTTTGATTATGAATTGTGCGTCATAATCTTTTTGGGGTGTATTTGTGATTTTTCAATCACAAATAAAATAATTCCTTGTCCTTTCACATTTTCCCTTGTCAATGAGGTAGTATAAAATATAAATGTTGCCTTAAAAAAATGTTGCTAACAATAGCTACCTTATTCTGACTTCCAGTATGCTTTAAGAAAAGTTGCACGACTTAACCTCTTCTTATGTTCAAAGTCCAAACAAGAGTACTCAACAATTCCTCTTTCTTGTAGGTATGGGGAAAGCACAAAGAGAATCTAATACTTGTGGAAAGATATCATTTTTTTTCTTCAAGTGTTCGGCAATTCGGCTTTGATTGTAAATCACTTTCACAACGTCAGATTGATGAAAGCGAAGAGGAAGGAGCACTTGTGGCCATTCTTAAAATTCTTAAACAGATCCACAGTCTTTTCTTTGACCTGGTACCCTAATATAATGTATTTATTTTCCATAATTTTGTTCTTATGAATTGAACTATATTCACTAAACTTGCCTTGCCCTACTTTTTCAGAAACAGGGAGATGATCTGCTAAAGTCTGATGTGAGAGAGGTAAGAAGTATGGTGGAGCCATTATGTTTACTTATGTAGGTTGGCTGTGTCTATCTGTGCCATCAAACACTTTTAGCGTGTTTTTAAGGATTATTTGGCTGATCTCTCTTTATTGAATTTTCTGGAAGGGAGAGTATTAAGTAAAAAAATCAATCTCATCCAAATAAGAAAGTCAAACACTACTATTTGTCGTCATTCTATTAGTGAGCAAAATAAGCCCTTTCTGATTCAATTTTAAGCTTGTTAGCTCTGGATTTAGTCATTAAACACCAACTTATTTCACTGTGCAGCTGTATTGGTGGGTTGGTGATGAAAAAAAAAGTAGTGCACCAGTTACTCATTCGGTTTGGGAGTTTAAACGGGTTTTCTAACAAACCACACTCTTTCGATTGTCATGATAGGTGCTAAAAGGAGTCCGGAAGGAAGTGCTGAAAGGTTGCAAAATTGTTTTCAGCCGGGTCTTCCCAAATAACATCCAGGCAGAGAAGCATCACCTTTGGAGAATTGCTGAGCAGCTTGGAGCTACATGCTCAATTGAAGTAGACGAATCCGTGACACATGTGGTCTCAATGGATGCTGGGACTGAAAAGTCACGCTGGGCACGTCAGAACAAAAAGTTCCTAGTCCATCCAAAGTGGATCGAAGCTGCCAACTATCGGTTTGAAAGGAAACCTGAGAAGGATTTTCCAGTAGCAGTTCCCGAAGTGGCAAGTAGTTAATCACTTCTATACTGGGTTAGATGCATGCTTACTATGTTATGTGCATTACGCTCCGCAACTAATAGCTACTTCCGGTCAGATCTTGGTTGGCTTACACGAAAGCCGAGCTCCCCCCAACCCCCACCCTGCCCCCCCCCCCACTTCCATTCGGTTGATGCTGTTATGTTTTACATGGGTTTAGCAGCTTAACAAAGCAACATGATTTTGAGGTTGAGTGGGCATGAGGAAAGTCAATTGTATCAAAAGAGCCTAGCACTTTTACTGTCAAAAATATTTTTTGTGATCTGCTAATGGAAGGTTTCCATTTTAATGTACCTTTACAAAATTAGTAAATATGCATCATAAGTCAATGACCTAATGGATCTGTTTGTGTAATTATGTAAGAAAATCCATAGATTTTCAGAAACACCAAATATGAACCAATGGAGTTGCGCGTATTAACACACAAATAGAAAAGTCATCATCTTCTTAGTTTGACTTTCAAAAGTTAAGAAAGAAAGCAATGAATGTTGAAATGAAAAATCAATGAGTATGTAGGCACGCGCACACTGTTGCAATGGAGCGTGAAATGGAGAATTAGGAAGTTGTCATTTCATGAGGTTATTATTCATGTTCATGGATGGTAACTGGTGAGTGTGCCCCATATACTTTTTGATGTTTAACTCATATTTGGATCATTTTTTTAGGGAAAGAACAAAACACTTGCGAGCAAAATTTGTAGCCAAAACAAAAGCACGAATGGGTAGGATATTTTGTTTTATCTAATAATCAACCAAAATGTACAAATAAATAAAAGCTTTTGTGAATTTAGAATAGTGAAGAGCGTAAAATCTTTTTAGGATGGAGGGAGTATTTTTGGACCGGAACACAAATTTCAATTAAGAATTCCTTATCTTTAAATATATTCCTACTTTTGTTCAGTTAAATTTTGCTAATTTGGTTTCACTACATTTCAATTACTTACATGACTTATGTCTAATTGGTTGCGTTTGATATATAGAATTGGAATTGAAATAGAAATAGAGTTAAATTTTTATGAAATTGAACGGAATTGAATTAACATACAATTTCAAATATTTTATTTGGTATTACTAAAGAATTGATATATAACTACTCTCTCCGTCCACAAATAAATTTCCCGTTGCGCATTACGATGTTTGACTGAAGTTATTTTCAAATCATTTTATATAAAAAATGGTGTAAAATTTAAAAATAAAAATTATACATATTAAAAAACTATATCAAAAGATCTACAAAACAAGAGGTGACACGACTATATTATTTTATCAAATGAGTGACAAAAATAGGCCTACAAAGTGAATAAAGTTTGACCATGTGAATAGTGAACGAGAAGTTTATTTGTGGACGGATGGAATTCTTCATTTGACAACACAAAAATGTATATAAAATTGATATGAAATAATTTCAAAAAAAGAGAATTGATATGAAATTATATTTTGAAAATGTCTCGTAGCAGAGTTATTAAAACCAACCAAAACACTAGCTAAAAATTACTACACTAACTTTGTCCTAGTATATTTGTTTAGTTTAACTTTTCCAAATTAAACTGGATAAATTTTGATCTTCAATTATTCTCAACTTGTCTCGCATATTAGTACAATGAAATCAAGTTTTGAAAATTCTCAACAAGATAATATAAAAAAATTATTTTTATATTAATATACATTACAAATTATGTTTAATTGATATTCAAAATTTATCTTGTTTGATTCGAAAAAACTTAAACTGAACAAATATACTGGGACACAAGGAGTACAATCAATCAAAAATTGACAAATCTAAAAACAAATCACGCAAATCCAAAACACAAGTAGGTGAAAAATTTAGATTTTCGATGGAGATTAGTTACCTAATAATCAAATGGTATCTCAAGGGAGAATTGAGCACGACGGGTGACTCATCACAGAGAGAGAGTTATTATTTTAAAAATTTATGCTATTTTTATACTTTTTTTTACTCTTATCTAGAGATTATTTTTAATAAATTAAGATAATCTCTACTCTCTATATTTTAACCTTTCATCATTATTATTGTATCAATCAATATACAAAAATTATTCTTAATCTGTCTCTTTTCTCTTGGGAGCCCGAAGACACTAGAAATTATTAATCTCCATCTCTTACATTTGTGTCTTAGAGCTTGAAAGCGCTCAAAGTTTTATTTGTATCCCTTTTGAACACAAAAAAAAAACTCATACGGAGAATTGAAGAGTTTAAAAGAAATATTTGGATTGCCGCTGGAACCCGACAACTTGCTCTCTTGATTTGGAGCCACAGACAAATCGCCGCCACAAAGAATCTCTCCCGCTCCTCCATGTTTTCCCGATCACGTCCATATTTTTGCCGTCCAAATTTGTGAAGAGCCGTCTAGATCGCTCGGTGTTCCGAGGATAGATGCATCTACTCAATCGTTGGTTCAAATGTAACAATATGTTTAATTTCAAATTGAGACCATACAGTTAGGTTAGAGGTTTTGATTGTGGTACATGTGTATTGGACAAACTTATTGATTTTGTTAGAGAATGTTCTATATGGAAAATTTGAATTAGGCGATGGGGTGTGTGGAGATTATCATCTTGTTGATGAAGTTTTAAAGAAATTTGGTAGTTTTGTGATACTATAGGTTAATGAAATTATGATCCTGATTTATAAGCGGTTAACATAGAAATTTCTTGCTCAATATTAGATCAGGTGCGTAGCCTCTTGATTTTATTGAGTTTGATTATTTTAGAATTACAAAATATAAAAAAACATGATGAATGTTATAAGCCATCTCACTCGTTGACTCGCGCTTCGCTTTCTGCACCAAATTTGTCCCCTACAACTAGAGAAACAATTGTCCAGACGAGGGAAGAAGCATCCCTACACCTTGCTCTTAATATGGAGGATGCAGTTGGATCTGAGGGACTAAGCACTGAATCGTACGCTGAGAATGGAAATAATGATGTATTTCACACCATGGAGGAAGATGATATTGTTAATATTCAAAGTGATGATTGTACTGATGAGTCATCCCACAAGTCAGATCTTGTATTTTATGATACACCAATCAGCGCATCAGGTGTTGTTGACGATGCAGAGTATGAGGTTCTAGTGAGTGTAGACCAACAACTCATTATTGTTTTACACAATCACTTTGTTTGACCTTGCTAATGTTGTCAAGTCTGAATGCTTGGTTTCAAAGGGGGTTGTTCAATACGAACTTGTCTTCTCTCATAAATCCAACTCTACACTCCAACTGGCACGATTCTTGAAAAATGGGTCATTGTGTGGACTTCTTTTTTGTTTAATATTTTCTCACATCCAACAACACGAGAGGAAGCCTCCATCTTGAGAACATGTTGATTTTCTAAAAGGGAGGGAATGTTAAGATAATAAAAATCATATTATTGTTAATATTTTATAGTTAATCATGTTTTGGATTTGAGTATGCACCCATGAGTTCATTAGGTCAATTAGGTGACCTCTACCCTTTTAATATTGTGACACTTCATCATTATTAGTCTATCAATCAATAAATACACACGAATTATTTTCAATCTTTGTCTCCTTTATCTTGGGACCTCGAAAAAGTTTGAAGTTTTTTTATCTCTATTACTACCTTCCTTCTTGGAGCTTGAAGAGACCCAAAGTTCTTCCTTATCTAATACAATATTGCTATGAGTTCGTTGTTGGGCGTTCATGTTAGGTGTTCTGAATAACTCATTTGTTTAGCTCTTTATTTTAAATTTTTAGTTTTTATTTCAAAATCTAAATTTTTAATTTTAATTTTTTTTAATTTTTTTAATTGTAATTTACCAATACTTATTTTATATTTTTTTATTTTTATTTTATATTTTTAGTTTTTTAGTTTTTAATTTTAAATTCTAATATTAATATTTAAATTTATAATTTTAATTTATGAATTTTGAGTTTTAAATTTTGAATTTTAAAATTTTAAATTTAAATTTTACTACCTCCGTCCAACTGTCTTTGTCCATATTTGACTTTTGGAACTGTTTATCTAAGCACTTTGACTCATTAAATTCTCTCAATGTGTAAGCATAAAAATAGTCATGTGTGATCTTGTTTGATTCGTCTTAATATATAGATTATTAATATATAATTTTTATAATTTTTTAATATACAAATTACAAGATAAAATGGATTAAAGAAGTGCATTGGATGGTGTGCCAAATAGTAAGTGGACAAAGACAGTGGGACGGAGGGAGTATATTTTATATCTTAAAACTTAAATTTTTATTTTTTTTGTTTCTAATTTTTATTTTTTACTCCGGTAGTTTTAAATTTTTAATTTGGATTTTTTATTAGTTCAAAGAAACTAATATCATTCAAAGAAGCCAAAACAGCTGAAAAGCCATTTTCAAAAGCACACCGAAAATTTATAAGACTTGTTTTACTGTTATGACGCGAAAATAACTCACGTGATTTAACTTTGACGTGTAAAAATCAAATTTTGGATTTTAAAATCTTTTCCATTATTATGTAATTTAAAATGTGAAATTGAAATTTTTTTAATTGGAATTTGAACTACATAACAACAAAAATATAGTTGATGTCTCTAATTTTATGTCTTGAATCTCATGTACCAAAAGAGTCTAAATTAAATTCAAAAAGTTGAATTGAAAATTAGATCTACTGAGTATAATTAAAAACGCGTTACGCTAGCCTGCTTGTTAGGGAGTAGCAAAATAAAGACTTTTGATGCTGACAAAGGTTTATTTTCTTCTCCTTGAAGTTTTGAACATTGGTCATTGTTTTCTTAATCTCGAATGTTTTTTACCTTTGTTTTTTTGACCGTTTCAAAGCTTTTTGAACAGTTAGGGCCCCTTTGGTACATAGAATCGATGGAATTGAAATTGAATTGAGAATTAAAATTCTATGAAATTGATTTGGATGAAGTTGAATTCTCCATGTGCAATTCATTTTTGGCATTAGCAATTCCAAATCCACATATTTTTGTGTTAGCAAATAACAGAATTGGAATTGTCATTCCCAATTCAAATTCCATAGTTTGAATTTCTTGTATCAAACGAGGCTATTTGCTCGAGTATACATAGAATTATCCAATTTGATTGTCTCGTATGGACAGACTTTGATCTTCACACGGAGTACATTTTTGTGGCCTCGAGGGCACGATCATGGAATTTCCATGACAACATTCTTCATGACTCTTTCAAGCTAGATTCTGATTATGGGGATGCATTTGCCTAGGCCCCTTATGTTTAAAGAGTGCATTACAATCGCAACATGTTTTCGTGAAAGTATGGCTGATCCAGATTTGTACCCTTATGTTTCTCATATGAGAGATAAATAGTGTACTTATTATTTGTACATTCCTGATATTTATAAAATAGGTATTATTTGTGATCCACGATTTAAGATTGAAAATTTTAAAATTCTAATTGAGTATTACTACAGTTGTTTTTTAGATAAAAATAGTTATTACTACAGCTATTTAGTAGAATGGAAAAATGAAAGAATTAATGCTATAACTCTTTTTGAGGATTTGTTTAAGGAATATCAAGGGTTATACGGTACTGTACAAGAAGAAACAGCACCACCTCCGCCCCCGAAATCAAAAAAAGGTTTTGCCGGAATAGTCGGTGGCCTTCTTGCAAAGAAAGGGAAGCGTGCTGCGTGCCCAGTCTTCGACGAGTTCAAGTGGTACAACAGTAAGCTCGCACAACGAACTTGCTATGTACCAGGGTGTGCCATGCGATTACGATGACGACGACGTCAATTTTGACGTGCTCGGATGGTGGAAGCGGAACAAACACATGTTCCCATGTCTCGGCATGCTAGCAAGACAAGTGTTGTCCGTCCCGGTATCAACCGTAGCAGTTGAACGAGAATTCAGTGTTGGCGGCAACATTCTAACCGACTACTGAAGTTGTCTTAACGCTGAATCTCTTGAAACACTGGTTTGCAACCAAGATTGGCTCTTGGCAAGACGTCGGGCTCAAGAGTCATCGTACCAACTCGAATCGGAGCATTACATGAATGCAACCACAGATGGAAGTCCGAGTTCTGAAGAATAAGTTATAAATTATTTTTATGTTAATGTAAATATGTAATTAATTTTTTGAACCGTCAGGATATTAAATGTGGTTCTTCTTCAGTTAGTGTATTACTCATTTTCAATATTTAAATAACAACTACATTTTTAGATTTTTTATTTCATTCTTTCCTTAAACAATTGCAAATTTACAATTTTATACTTTAAAAATTTAAAAAAAAAGCAAAAAAAATAAAAAAATAGGGGGGGGGGGGGCGAACCCGGCCGGTCCGGGAACCGGAACCGGTACCGGCCGGCACGGTGACGGTTCCGGTTACATGGGGTGGCGGTACCGGAACCGGCGGTTCCGGAACCGTACCGTCTCCACCCCTAGATGTAATGTGTAAAAGTAAGATGTGATATGTAGATTATTAGTAAAAAAGTATGATGTGATAGGTATGGTATGAAAAAGTAAGGGGTAAAAGAGGTTTTTTAAGGAAAAAGAGAAGTTTATTTGGGGACAAAAAAAACAAAATGAGAAGTTTATTTGGGGACGGGGGGAGTATAATAATAACTCTAACTATAATAGGTAACAATCATAATTATAATATATAATGTTAAATATATTAAATAATTGATATATTTAACAGATAATTAATTAATTAACATACATTCTCCAATCCCCCATTAATTGGCATGGATGTCCTCTTTTCTGTGTGAGCTAGCTAGTAATTAATTAACGAACATGAAAAAAATACTTAAAATATATTGTTTTTATTAACTAGGATCACTTTTTCGTTTTCTTTTCTTTTTTTTACTCGTACTATATGTAATCAAGTATATGAAGAAAGTTTCGAGTGAATTACTTTCCACACCAAACATAATCAATAAAGTGGGAATCACGTACTTTAGAATTAATGCAACTCGCCATTCACATTTATGATGTGATAGGTAGAGTATGAAAAAGTAAGGGTAAAAGTGGTTTTTTAACAGAAAAGGGAAGTGTTTTGTTGGAAGTGGAAAAAATGAAAGAGGAAGTGTTTTTGAGAACGGAGGGAGTACTTTTTTTATTAACTAGGATCACTTTTTTTTTCTTTTTCTGGGCAACTCATTATTGTTGGTGGAATAATATTACTCGTACTATATGTAATCAAGTATATGAAGAAAAGTTTTGAGTGAATTACTTTCCACACCAAACATAATCAATAAAGTGGGAATCACGTACTTTAGAATGAATGCAACTCACCATTCACATTTCAATATTGGAGCTCAATTAAAGGCATGTGAAACAACGTACATTTTCTGCAAAAGAATTAAACAGTCTTGAAATCACGCGTTTGCCCTCACCGTCTCTTTTGACCGCTGGAAATCTTCATTACTCCATCCACACGTTCATCTTATTATACTCCCTCCGTCCCAAATTATTTGCCACATTTGTATTTCCGAGACAAAATATCAAGTTTTTTCAATTCATTTTATTTACATATTGGTATAGAACTAAAAAATAAAATTTACATATAAAAAAACTACATAAAAAGTTCTTCGAAATAAGAGGTGTCATGAATATTTTATTTTATCAAATAACCAATGAAAACGTCAAAATAAACAAAAGTTCCCGCGACTGCTGAAAAAGCAAATGTTGTGAATATTTAGGGACAGAGGTAGTATATAACTTCTCCCCGTTTTAACTTAGCACGAAAATTAGAAAAAAATGTTAAAATTCATTGATTTTTCAATATTAATGACCTTATTTGAACGTTAAAAAAGGTAGATTAAGGAGTAAATAATTTCCCCGGTGCGAGTGGTTTTTCATAGAAAAAGAAAATGATAACTGGACAAAAAAAAAGACTTTTCTAGATGGTCGGGGAGCATAAAAAGTGAAGGGTATGAAAAAAAAAAGTCAAATTCTTCCGTAGCCCTAAAGTTCATGTTCGTGTTATGGACCTCAATGTATTCATATTGTAAAAGAACTTGGTCTTCGTCAAATAAGAAAGATTCACTCGCCGACCCATGAAAAATGTAAAAAAATTCATATTTTACATGTGGACCTTAGGATCACGGAAGAACAATTTATTTAAAAAAATATGGAGTATTTCTTTTCATGAGAAAAAGAAACAGTCTTTTGAGATTTTTATAACGCGACTACGTACACTCTCATTTTCCTTCCACCAAACATATACTCCCTCCGTTCTAAAAAGTCTTTCCTGTTTCATTTTTTGCGCATCTCATAAAACACTTCTACCGACATTTAAAATGCCAAAAATTTACAACATTTCTTCTTTATTGTGGGTAGAAGTTATTTTGAAAGTTTTTTTGGCATTCAAGGCGGGATATAAGTGTTTTATGGGATGCACAAAAAATGAAACAGGAAAGACTTTTTGGGACGGAGAGAGTATGTATATATACATGTATGTATCTGTGTGTATATATATAGTTCCCCTACTTCAATTCTTTCAATGCCCACAACTCAACCAAATAGTATTAGTTCTCAAAATCTTTTATCATTTTCATTCCTTTCACACATGTAGAAAGTCTCAAACACGCCGGAAACAACTAACGTACGTACGTGAAGTGACGCCGGCCAATTCCTCCCTTCATTACATTTGAAACTCGATAAAGTAACGCAGAATGAGAAGATCATCTTTGGGTGGCCTCTTCCTCGTGCTCGCCGCCGCCGTGTCGGCTTTCGGCGGCGGCTCATCAGAGGCGGCGGCGGCACCCGCGGCGAAAGTGCAACCAACAATACGCAACTACAAATGGGAGGTGAAATACGAGCTGAAGTCACCGGATTGTTACCGGACTTTAGCGATGGCCATCAACGGGGAAACTCCGGGACCCACCATCTTCGCTACCGAAGGGGACACCGTCGTGGTCGAGGTCAAGAACAGTTTAGTCACTGAAAATCTCGCCATCCATTGGCATGGCATCAAACAGGTTATTAATTAGTCTCATCATCTTCAGTTCGTGACTAATTTTTCGAGTGAAATTTGATAAACTTTAATTCCACGTTGAAATGTATGTATATTAGATTGGAACGCCGTGGTACGATGGCACAGAGGGGGTGAGCCAATGCCCAATTCTGCCCGGGGACACTTTCACTTACGAATTCGTCGTGGACAAAGTAAGTGGAATAATCATAACTAAACAGAAATATTTAGAAATATTTTTACTAAATAACACTAAAACATACTCCCTTCGTTCTATAAAAGTGTTCTTATTTTGATTTTGTGTAAAAATAAAGAAGTGTTAAATTGTAGTTGACTTCCAATTTTGCTCTTGACGTGATGGATAAAAGTAAGATGTGATAGATTGAGTATTAGATAAAAAGTATGATGTGATAGGTAGGGTATGAAAAAGTAAGGGTAAAAGTGGTTTTTTAATAGAAAGTGGAAGTCTTTTGTTGATAGTAAAAAAAATGAAAGATAAAGAGTTTTTGAGAACGGAGAAAGTAAGTTACGAAGTATTTCTTAATTATAGGACTATCTTTTTTTTCTCTAAATAGTACTTAATAATATCCAGAAGAAGGAATAATGTCCAGTGATGTTGAATATTACTTCAATAATGAATAATGACTAAAAGTCCTACATTGGGATATATAAAAACATAGGATGCTATTCAGAAAAAATCATTATGTTTTAAAAAGGAAGATTTAGGGGCTGTTTGGCAAATTCTGAATAGGTAAGTGCTGAACCAGTAAGAGGTCTGAACCATTTAGTGCTGAACCAGTAAGAGGTCTGAACCATTAAGAGCTAGTATATTGTTTAACTATTGAGAGGAAAATGTCTGATCAATTCAGATAAGAGTCTTAACCATTCACACTCTGTATAATACTTAACCATTCAGACATTTAAACCATTAAGAAGTTGAAACAAACAGTCTGAACCATTAAGTGATGAATATTCAGACATCTGAACCATTAAGAGGCTGAAACAAACAGCCCCTTACTCAAATAGTACTAAAATATAGTGACTTTTCCAATGTAGCATAATTGTTCAATGTGTACGAGTCATTGTTCAAACTAAATGTTCACCGTCACCTGTCACTACACATAATCCAAGTACTATTTAGGAAATAAAGAAGTTTAAGTAGTACGTTGTGAAAATGACGTACATACGTTTTAGTACTGTTTAGTGCGAATTTCACAAGTAAAAACTGATGATCTCTTGATAATTAAATTATGAATGAAGGCGGGGACATACCTATACCACGCACATTACGGGCTGCAAAGACAGACGGGATCACAAGGGATGATAGTTGTAGCTGCTGCTAAGGAGAGCAAGAGGGAACCATTTAGTTACGACGCACAGCCTCCGCCTATTCTCCTCACGGATTGGTACCACACGACTTACCAAGAACAAGCCGCTGGCCTCTCAGCCATCCCCCTTGTATGGGTTGGGGAGCCTCAGTCACTCTTGATCAACGGGAGAGGAAAGTTCGCCTGTAGCGGCGCCGGCGACCAGGCTGCCGGAGTATGTAACGCCACGAACCCGCAGTGCGCCCCCTATTCCCTCAGCGTCCTTCCCGGCAAGACCTACCGCCTTCGGATCGGTAGCTTGACCGCCCTCTCAGCTTTAAGTTTCCAAATAGAGGTGAGCGTTTGTCTATTTTTGACTTTTTCCCAACTAGGAAATATCTTATTTACTTTCAGGTTTAAAATGCTTCCATGACACCAATTTAATTCATTTGGGTTACATTAATTTAATTTGAATGCGGCAGGGTCATAACATGACCGTGGTTGAAGCTGATGGCAACTACGTGGACCCATTTGTGGTGCAAAATCTCTTCATTTACTCTGGAGAAACCTATTCCGTACTCCTCCGGGCAGACCAAGACCCAAAACGGAACTATTGGATGTCCACACAAGTCGTGGCCCGGAACAACACCACCCCAAATGCATTGGCCATACTCAATTACGGAACCAACAGTGCTACTCCAACAAGCCCCACTACTGCCCCACCGGTGGGGCCGCGGTGGGACGACCTCGCGCCCCGGGTAAACCAGAGCCGGTCGATCCGGGCGCACCCGCGTTTCAACACCCCCCCGCCCAAGACCTCGGACCGCACCATCGTCATGCTCAACACGCAAAACAACGTCGACGGGATGCGCAAGTGGGCCATCAACAACGTGTCGCTGTTCTTGCCCCACACGCCGTACCTCGTCGCGCTCAAGTACAAGCTGTTGGCCGCCTTCGACCCTACGAGCCCGCCCGACGGCTACGACGAGCAGAAATACGACATATACGCGGTCCAGAAGAACCCCAACGCCGTTGCGAGGGACGGAATTTACCGGCTCGTGTTCAACTCGACCGTGGATGTCGTCTTACAGAACGCCAACACGATGAACCCGAACAACAGCGAGACGCACCCGTGGCATCTGCACGGGCACGAATTCTGGGTGTTGGGCTACGGGGACGGGAAGTTCAACCGGTCCACCGACCCGGAAAGGTTCAATCTTGTGGACCCGATCATGAAGAACACGGTCCCGGTCCACACGTACGGGTGGACCGCGTTGCGGTTCAAGGCGGACAACCCGGGGGCGTGGTTGTTCCATTGCCACCTTGACGCGCATTTCTATATGGGGATGGGTGTGGTGTTTGAGGAAGGGATACAAAAGTTGGGGAATTTGCCTCCTTCCATTATGGGATGTGGACTCAGCAAAAACATCACTCACCCATAGACGCGCTGAATGCTTAATTATTATATGTGGAGTTATTTATTTAATTACACTCCCATCCCAAACTATTTTTGGATATGAATCATGTTTTTTTTTATGTCATGAGTTTTGAACGATTATTTATATGATGTATTCATGGAGCCATTCCATTTTTATTATACGAATGTATTGCATTATTCCCTTCTTGTTTAAATAATCTTTTTATTTTGAATTAGAGAAAGTCACCAACAGAAGAGTCATAAAATATAATTCATAAACTTGCTATTTCTAAGCCCGACCACTAACAAAACAAAATGGTCTCAAATAGTTTTAAAAAATATTAATACTCGGTATCATAAAAACAAGTTTGTGCAGTTTATAATTCTTGTGTTTGTGACTTTGGTACGGTGTATTACACTCTGTATTAGAGAAATGATTGTTACAAAATGCACAAATTTACTATTTATGATCCTACTGAAATCAATTCCCATTTTCGAGCAGCCTCTGTGGGCTCCCTAAAATATGGAGCACCCTGAGTATTTATGAGTATAATTCCAGTATATTTGTCCAATTTTTCAAGTTAAAATGGATGAATTTAAGTTTCAAGCATTCCCAATTTGTATTGCGTGCATAGTAGTATAACAAAAAAAATTGAAAAATCTCAATAAGATAAATCTAATTTATAAAATTACTATTCTCCTAAATTACATTACAATTTTTATTTAATTAAATTTAAAATTCAATTGGTTTGACTCAAAAAATTCAAAATGGATAAGTACACTGAGACAAGGGGAGTATTATGAATCGGCTCGCACCACAGAATTACGGGCCGTGCAGCCCACAACCCTTTACTCGAGGAGGGTTGTGTTAAGTCTAAGCAACCAACGTAAAACTTTGTCGAATCTTCATGACATGGACGGAGGGAGTAAGATATAAAATATTTTAAATAATATGGAGTAATATATAAAAATATTTGTATATAATTTTTTTGTTTCACATTAAAATTAATATAATATGATTGTTACTAGTTACTCCATAAAATATTATATAAAATTATAATTACTTCAATCAATATAAAATACGGCGTGTGTAATTGTATTGTTCAAAAAAGACAAATATTTGTAAAATATAGTGTACATTCACACGCACCCTCGCACCCACGCACATAGACACACACATAATCTGGGCGGGCCAAACTTAAAGGCCTAGCCCGCCCATACTATGATATCCCTACATCTATATCTATCTATATCTATACTATACTTAAAAGCAGGGGAATTTTCACCCAGGGTTTTCCCGCCCAAATGATGTGTGAAATCTATACTATACTTAAAAGCCGAGGAATTTTCACCCAGGGTTTTCCCGCCCAAATGATGTGTGAAAATGGTAAGAATTAAAATATCTTTGAAATGGTAAGTGGAATAGATGTTCATTATTATGGAAAAATACGATAATTTAGTTATAGAAAGTTTTTTTTACATTATTACGAGTAGCTTTTTTTAATTGTCACTCTTTGGTATGCATTATTGCTTTTATAGATGTAATACGGTATATTATTACTTTCTATATAAAAAATAAAATTTCCATTACCTTTTATGAAAATGCAGGTATCTATATCTATATCTATACTATACTTAAAAGCAGGGGAATTTTCACCCAGGGTTTTCCCGCCCAAATGATGTGTGAAAATGGTAAGAATTAAAATATCTTTGAAATGGTAAGTGGAATAGATGTTCATTATTATGGAAAATCTATACTATACTTAAAAGCAGGGGAATTTTCACCCAGGGTTTTCCCGCCCAAATGATGTGTGAAAATAGTAAGAATTAAAATATCTTTGAAATGGTAAGTGGAATAGATGTTCATTATTATGGAAAAATATGATAATTTAATTATAGAAAGTTTTTTTTTACATTATTACGAGTAGCTTTTTTTAATTGTCACTCTTTGGTATGCATTATTGCTTTTATAGATGTAATACGGTATATTATTACTTTCTATATAAAAAATAAAATTTCCATTACCTTTTATGAAAATGCAGGTAATAAACTAAAACTATGGGGAAAATGGTACATTATTATTTTTAAAGCTTTCGACCATAATATCAATTTTGATGGAACATTATTACCTTTTATAAAGGCAATAAATTTTTTTCTTTAATTTCAATTACGGTACATTATTATATTTTATAAAGAAAAAAATTAGTACTCCGTATTACTTTTTATGAAAATTAAAGGCTGGTAATAAACAAAAATTATAAAAGAAATTATACATTATTACCTTTTATAGCTTTCGACCACAAGAATAATAATATTGACTGTGCATTATTATCAATACTTTATTTAAAAAGAGATGAATATTTTTGCCGCCCATACATGAGAGTGATGAGACTCATATATGGAAAGTGTTGATTACACAAATGGTAGTTTAATTATTTCCCTTCCATTTTAAGTATGTTTTAATTTTTATTTAAATGCTACACCATTTAAGTATTTAAATTAAATTAAATAAATTAGATAGTTGTGAGCCATTGAGGAATTATAGTATGAAAATAAAATACCATACGATTTCAATATGAAAATAAAATTAAAAAACTCCAAATTAATAAAGTATGGGCGGGATTAGAATGATTTGTTTAAAAAAAATCTACGTACAAATTAATTAGTTATTTCAAAAAAATATTATAATTTACAAGCACGATGTGTAAAAATAGTAAGTTTTCTAATATAAATTAGAAAATAAATATGGTACGGTAAGTAAATGGTAACATTTAAATACCAAAATATATAAAAAAAACTACAAATTAATATTAATACAAGCATGGAAACGTTTTAAAATGATAAGTGTTCTAATTAGAAAATTAGAAAATAAATACTGTATGGTACGGTATGCAAATGGCATCATTTAAAAATGAAAACAAAAAATGGTAAGTATTCTAAAATAAATTCGGTAAGTGTTCTAAAATAAAGAGGAAGTAAATTACATCTAAAAATGATAAATGTTATAAAATAAATTAGAAAATAAATGTGGTTCAGTAAGTAATTAGTACCAATTAAATACGAAAATAAAATAAAAAATTTCAAATATTAATATTAATACTATAAATTACAAACATGAAAATGTTTTTAAAAAGGTAAGTGTTCTAATTAGAAAATTATAAAATAAATACGGTACTGTACGTCAACACGATAAGCAAATGGTAACATTTTAATACAAAAAGAAAATAAAAGATAAGTTTTCTAAAATAATTTTGGTAAGAGTTCTAAATAAATTAGAAAATAAAATAAATATCAAAATGGTAAGTGCTTTAAAATATATTTGAAAATAAATACGGTATGGTAAGTAAATGATACGGAGTACAATTTAAATACAAAAATAAATTAGAAAAACACTAGATTAATACTATTAATTAATGCTACAATATACAAGCATAGAAACGTGTAAAAATGGTAAGTGTTCTTAAATAAATTAAAAAGGAAATACGGTACAATAAGTAAATGGCACCATTTAAATGCAAAAATAAAAAAATTATAAATTAATACTATTTATACTATAAACATGGAAACATGTAACAATGGTAAGTATTCTAAAATTAATATTATTAATATTATAATTTACAAGTATGGACACATGTAAAAATGGTAATTGATCTAAAATAAAATAGAAAATAAATATTGTAGGGTAAGTAAATGGTACCATTTAAATATGGAAATAAAATTAAAAAACTACAAATTCTAAAATAAATACATTAATATGTTGAATTATTGCTCAGATAAGTCAAATTATTGAATTTTTTCAAGGACAATATCAGAAACATGTTGAATTTTTATTATGGAAACCTGTATTTAGTCATAAGCAACTGTATGTTGCAGTTTCATGAGTAATAAATCGCAAAGGCTTGAAGATCCTGATATACAACGAAATGAATACTCACACGAATTATTTGAGTAATGTAGTTTATAAAGAAGTCTTTCAAAATTTGTAAATCATTTGTACTTTAAAATAATGAACATTCTACATTCCAATATATACAAATTTGTATCTTTAAAAATGATATTAATTTAGTAACATAACTATGACCCGTGCAACGCACGGGTGTGATACTAGTACTCTCCAAAATATGAGTAATTTAATGTCACGAGACATGTACTTTGCTTACACAAACGTACAAGGTGGTGATGGACTCGGAGATCACTTGCTCCGTTGCTTACATTATGTTGGTCATATCTTTGTCCCAAACAATTTATGTACAATTTGGCAAGCTAAGATCATCGGGTTCAATTATTGTTAGCATTTTAGCTTTTTTTAAAGTTGATGAGATGCAATTTAAATTAGAAAATATTAAAAGTACACACTCTGATACAATTACATAGCTGTAGAAATTTACACAAATTGGATTTTTTTAAATATCATTGTTTAAAAAAACTATTGTCTTGATTTGTCGCCGCCGCCATCACTATGACCGTTGTCATCTCTTGCCGCCTCCATTGTTGTCCTTGTTGTCGCCCCTGCTCCAATCATGGCTGCCACCATTGCAACATTAAAATATACATACAATGTCAAACAAAAGCGTACTTAACGCCACACGTAATTGCATAATAGCACTAATGGCAATGTGTAAAGCCACACATGCAAATGCATAATGTTAAACAAAGACATAATGCCAAATATGGCAACGTAAAATGCAACACGTAAAAATGTATAATGATAAATATGCAAATGTATAATTGTATCATTCTAGGATTTTTTTTGTTAATTATAATACTTTGTAACAAATTTTCTTTCTCTATTGATAATGTGTAAAACATGTAGCATTTCATTTGTTTATTGAATTTAATGTACACTTGAATGAATTATAAGTAGGCCCCCTGTAGGCGCAATTAGTCCGCCTTCCCATTCAAGAGTGTAAAGTTGAAGCCCAATCTCCACCTTCCGTGATCAAACTCCAATACATTGTCTTCTATTTAGTACCTGTAATGATTCTTTAGTGCACCTTGGGTGCATCTATTTTTATGGACACTCTTACACACAAAAAATATTCTTTTTTACTTTTTTTAAAAAAACAAATACTCTTTTAAGAGGGATGATAATGAATGAGAAGATAAGGTGAAAAAGAGTGACCTATTTTAGGGTAGTTTAAGTATTTTATTTTTAAAAGTTTACGAAAACAACTAACAAGCAACTTATTTTGGGACGGAGAAAAAAAGCAAATAGGCAATTTAAAATGGGACAGAGGGAGTATATTATTTTGTTTCATATTAAAATTAATATAATATGATTGTTACTATTTAGTATTTACTCCATAAAATATTATATAAAATTATAATTACTTCAATCAATATAAAATACGGCGTGCGTAATTGTATTGTTCAAAAAAGACAAATATTTGTAAAATATAGTATACATTCACACGCACCCTCGCACGCACGCACATAGACACACATAATCTGGGCGGGCCAAACTTAAAGGCCTAGCCCGCCCATAATATCTTGCGGCCCGGCCCAGCCAGTATGCGTAGATTTAAGGGTGGGATGAACGGACTGGACCGGCTAACTCGAATTTGTGCAGGTCTAGAGCACGCGTAGATTTTCTCCCACTAGTCTCAAATTTATACTCCGCATGCAAAGCTACACTTTTCTCTGCATTGCATATGTTAATGCCTTACCGAGTAATCACAAGAGAAAGCTAATTAACATCAAAGTTATTAGAACAAAATACCAATGTATATATAAATTTTCACAAGATCAAAAAAACAATTTGAGGATAAGTTCACCCTTGGAATATTTGCATTAAAGAAACGAGAAAGCATGAAAGGAAAACCAGAGTTTATTACATTCTCTTGAACTCGAAATTGATGGGATAAGATACAATCATACAAGGGGGGGAAAAGCTTAGAAACTACACCTGCCTATAAATACAGAAGTGACTTAGCTTACAATGAATATGAATACAACAGCAAAAACACCTTGACAATGAATCCGCACGCACAAGATACAAAAGAATAATATACTACTCGTAACGACTTGTTGTTTCAAGACTACGAAGGGAAAGACGCTATACATTTGGTGGTGAATGAAAGAAACTTAAGAATATGAGAAAATGGGCAAAAACCTCGCAGTTGTTTCTACACTTCGGTTTTGTTGGACCACTGGAATTCTATCTCCAAGTTCCTAGACGGTCCGCTTTTGCTCTCGGGCAACAAGGTGTACTCCCCAGAAACTGCACCAAGCATCACTACTCGGTCAATCTGGATCGTCACCTTCCCAAATGAGCTCTGCAAATGATCACATTCGAGAAGCAAGCTATGTTAGGAATGATAAAAGCTACTAAGCTAGAGCACCGAGGTGAGAAGAAGAAGAAGAATCAAGGCAAGACTCCTTATTTTACCTTTCCTATTTTGCTCTTGTTCTTGCATGAGATATGAAGCTTTTGTCCTTTTGGGGGACTTTCAAAGGACCACGCAAAGCTTTCATCCCATTCAGGATTAGGACCAGTTGATGCAACCTGACACAATGGAAAAGTCATGCATACCTCATCATTACCGCCTTAATCCGAATTATGTTGTGTTGGGGGGGTCCGTGGCATTTAATATTTAGTGCCAAACAATTGATTGTTTAAAGTTAGATAGTATAGAGTAATATAAATACATGGAAAAAAAAGTACTGGCAAGGTTTAGTCCTGGATCAGGATGTCTTTCGTGTTGCAACCTTCTTACGAAGGATTAATGAAAAAAATTCAAAACCATCCTAAAAAATAAGGAACCTTCTTTGAGAATTTCCTTCTTTGTTAAAAGTATTAAATCTTCTTGGTCAATAAATCAGAATGTTGACACTGATATGACGGCATAGTTACCACGGAACCAGTGTACCGCCATGACTCCTAGACGACTAGGCTATTATTAGGAGACCTAGGAGGCAACACAAAAGAAATCACTCAAATCAGGATTGGTATACATTAGTAATACTAGGTAGCAATAATTTAAATATAAACATACATGATACATGTTCTCTAAACCTAATAAAAAATTTAAATAGACATACTTAAAAAAATAAAAAAAGACCATAATACGAAGAAAAAAAAGAAGAATATGAAATACGAAATATGATTAAAACACAATACGCAACTTCTTAGTGCAAAGTAAATACTGAGTATGAAAAAAGTCGCTGACTTAAAGGCATAAAGGATTTTCAAAAGGCGATTCCTAGACGCCTAGGCGAGGGATGCGAAATAAGGCGAGGCAATATATATCATGGCAAGAGGATCTGACCACCAGGATGCCTAGGCGGCACCTTGATAACTATGTATGACGGTGCACTAAAAATATTCAACGCCATGCACAACTAAGCCTAGACGAATAATTGGAAATAATAATAAATTTAAAAAAAATCCAAAATGAGAAGTGTACCTTGGTTTGCAGAGGTGGTGTATTACCAAGGGTAAGCTTGCAATAAACACTAGGATTTCCAACTGACTGTCTCATGTTATTGCCTCGCTTAATAATCACCACTAATGTCCCTGGCAAGCATTGCAAAAGGAATTCTGCCTTCTCCTGAAACCTAGGCGGGCCTGATTGTATCAAATACTGCAACAAAGGGATAGCATCAGCAGCAGCAATTGATTGGGCTCGAGATACTTCAGCTGGGCAGGCTGACCAAGCATGTCTGAGCAAGTACAGAGCATCCAGAGCAGCTTCTTGAGTTGCCTCTGAACCAGTCTTGAGGGCGGTGACCAGATGTGGTATACTTAGAGTTGCAGGTTCTGTTGCTCTCAAACGTGGGAAGTTTCCAAAAAGTGCATTCAAAGCCTTCAGATACTCTTCGTTAACTGTTCCTGTTGCCCACAAGTCTTTTTCGAGTGCAGCTGCAAGACCAGATTATTTGTTTAACTGAATGTGTTTTTTGTTGTGTACATTGCAGAAGCAGAAATAAGCATGAATTAATCAATATTATTCTGAACAAGAAGAAACTCATGAAATGTATAGAAGCATTGTTGTGGTGTTGGCAAGAATTCATTTCACAAACTAATGCCAAAAAAATTATGTTAAATTGAGATTGCTGCCGGTGCAAATGCTAGTAGTACTACATGGATACATGGTACATGTTTATTGGCCCTATGCATGGAATGGATCTAAATCTGTTGCATAGTAAGTGGTATTGATATTACTTGACACATTCCTTGCCTCTATGAATCTATTCCTTCATTAACACACATCATTCTATTTTTTAAGTGTCCGAAGAACATGAAAAGGTGAAATTTGTTGAATAATACAGCGGAAAAATTTATGTCCGAAAATTGTCCAATTTATCAAATATTTCCAACAAAATTTATATAGCCCACCATATATTAAAGTGATGCCTAATTCACACTTTTAGAAGATACGAATCTAAACCACCATTAGAGATCTTTTTAAAAGGGGTGCATGATAACAATTACACACTAAATTCTAGTGTAGGGAAAAGGTACTAATGGTTTTGAAGAGTGCTTTTTCACTCTTTATTTTTTGAACTGAAAAAAGACATTAATATTATATGAAGATAGTAAGGGTGAAGATTTGAATCCTTGATCAAGGCATTTTGAGTATGATTGTGACGCCACATGCAAGAAGACCATATATGGCAATTTGCATTCTCTAATTGGAATTTCATACTCCGTAATATTTAAAAATGAAGCTTACCTGTTATAGCTCTGACGGTCTCGCCCGAAGCATATTCTTGAATAGTATTGTTAGAAAAGAGAAGCTTAATAAACATTGCTGCCTGTACTGATGTATCTGGATCACTTGAACCAATAACATCGAGCACAACCTGAACACCTCCTGCTTCTGCAACAGCTCTTTTATTTGATCGGCTATACATAACAAGGTTCTGTAATGCACATATTGACACCACTTTCATTTCTTCAGTGGGCTGATCCTCAAGCAGATTAACCAATGCCCGGCATGCAGAAACGGCATCTGATGTTCTAGCAAGTGACTCATTCTGGAATAGAGCACCAAGAGCAAGTGTCGCCATGAACCGCGCTTGCTGACCTTGGGTTTGTGGGTCCAAGAGGTATTGTGACAACGGAAGAATTGCTGACTTGGTAACTTTGGTATCTCTGATCTTCACATTGTTCAGCAGAACCTCAAGCAGTCTAGCTGCAGTTTCCTCACAGATATGGCATCGGAGAAGTTCCAAAAGAGCTTCAATTGCTCCACTTTCAGCCATTGCTACAGCACTGGTGGAGTCATCACTTTCCAACACAAGTAGGGCATTTAGTGCACCAAGTATGGTGCTTTCTAAGCCAGAACGAAGCAATCTCACCAAAACAGCGACAGGTACTTCCAAGTAAAACTCAGAGCTGAATTGCAAGATACTGGCTAGGACAGAAGCAGCTGATTCCCACAAAGCATTTGGAAGCAAAGGATCAGCATTCAATAGCACTTTGGAAAGCTCACTTACACCGCCCTCTTTTGCAATCTCATTGGGCCAAGTTACTGAAACACAAACAAGAGCCTTCACGGCTCTCTGTTGCAGAATGGGTATATCAGAACCAAGCACTCGTACTAAAGGGCCAATCACTTGTTGTGTAACAGGATCTTTCTGAAGATGCTCCTCCATAAGAAGGTGAGATAGAAGCTCAGCTGCCAACTGTTGAACAGCAGAAGCAGGAGAATCAAGTAAAGGAATCAAAGGTTCAATTGCTTGATGGGATGTCAAGGTGTAATCAGCACGGCATTGTGGGTGCTCTAATATGTTTACAAGAACCTGGAGAGCACTATGTTGTCCATCATGTCCAAACTCGGGTGCTGTTAGCAAGAAGAAAAGAGGTTCAACAACCTTTGCTGCAGATGGTCCCTTGGCAATGGCTGCGTTGTTGGTCAGTATTCTTAGCAATTCAGAAAATGCAGCACACAGGAAGTGTGGTGCCTCATGAAGGATATCAAGTATGCTTTCTATAACCCCTGCTTTTACCATTTCCAACTTACACGAAGGTCTGTCTTTCCCTAACTTCACAAGAGTCCTAGAAATAGCCTCATGAAGCATATAATTCTGACCATAGAGAAGGCCTACAAGGGGGATGACAGCTCCGTGTGCAGCAACAAGTTCTGCCAGCTGTTCATCATCAACCAGTTTATCTAATGCATGAACAACTGAATGGTGAGCTGGACTAAATTCAGTAACCAGAAGAGAAACCAAAGGTTCCACACAGCGAGCAGCAGCAATTGTAGATCTTACTCTTGTACTAGTGAATAGAACAGAGCACAACTCGGCAGCATCCCCCTTCAGCTCCATTGAACAGTTTGATGAGAGAATCCTGCATAGAACCTCTACTGCATTCATCTCAACATCTGCAACGGCAAGAGCTCTTGATGGATTCTCACTGAGCAGCCGCACTAATGCAGCAATAGCAGCATGTTGCTCCTTTTCAAGACCAGAGTTTAGGATCTCTACCAAAGGTTTAACAGAATGCCTAACAGATTCTGCATTTCTTATATGATCTGCTGAAAACAGGTTCTCTAAGGCTTTGGCGGCACTATATCTTGCTGCCCTTCCTCCTAAACG